AACTGTTCTTGCCTGGACTGCTTAAAAAAATGTATTGACTGGACATGCAGGACCCATAGGAAGATAACCACTGAACTTTGCTTAGCAAAATGCTCCTTCAGGTTCCTGCTTCGCAGAGGAAACTGCCAGACATTTTATAGGACACAGAAAAGTGACTGAGAGACACTAGGCCCATGGGCTGAAGACAGATGCCCCAACTTTACAGAGGAACTTTGGATGACTGTCCAGGCTGCCAGCTGTCTCTGTCTACTCTTGCAAGACTCACAAAACTTGCTTGTATCCTTCTCCCATTTCTCAGGTAATATTATATCCTTCTGAGGTCTTTGATGTAGTTGAAGACTAGATAATTATAATTTCCTTAATTATGATAAAAGATAAGTTAGATATGAAATCTTAGACTCACAAATATAGGATGGATAGGATATCTTCTTTAATTTTGCCAAATACAAATAGACTAGATATTATAAATAGATTATTGTAACTGTAATTTTTACTTGACAATTGTTTTGTTATATGTAATTTTACTATGTTAAAGTTAAAATTTTCCTTTTTGAAAAAAAAAGAAAAGGGGAAGTGCTATGAATATCTGTATGCTGTGAATGTGTTGCTCTGATTGGTTGATAAATAAAATGCTGATTGGCCAGTAGCCAGTCAGGAAGTATGGTATAGGCGGGATAAGCAGAAAGGAGAATGCTGGGAAGTGGAAGGCTGAGTCAGGAGAAGCTGCCAGCTGCTACCGCCATGAGGAGTAAGATGTAAAGTTACCGGTAAGCCCTGAGCCATGTGGCAAGGTATAGATTTATAGAAAAGGGTTAATTTAAGATACAAGAACTGGATACAAGAAGCCTGAGCCATTAGGCCAAACAGTTTAAATAATAATAATAATAAATTCTTGTAGCACATTATATTTTATGCAACTTCCTTGATTTCTGAAGATGTTTTAAGTTCAGGAGTGGATGTCTTGTTAGTAAGCCTGCTCAGGGCTTCACTCTGGGTCTCAACACATTCACTCATACTCACCTGCCTCCAACCCTGGAGAGCTCTCTGATTGGGAATAGCAGATGGAATTGCAAATTATTGGCTATTTGTCTCAAAGAATGTGGGACAGTTATCTCCTGGAGGCATTTATTATTTCCCCTTGAAAAATTTCCACCAAGAATCATTTTCAAGGTCATCTTCATTTCACAGTATTTAAATGCCAAGTATGTGTCTCATCTTACATTCTGATTAACAGTGAAGCATCAAGGACTTTGCATTCAAGACTTTGATCTTTAAATCGGAAAACCTGACTATTTATATAAGCTTGTTCTCAAAAAAAAGTACTGGATTTTTACTGCTTTGGAAATTAAATTGAAGTGTGTTTCTAGAGATTCAGAATTGATCTCTCTCTCTCTCTCTCTCTCTCTCTCTCTCTCTCTCTCTCTCTCTCACACACACACACACACACACACACACACACAAACACACACACAAGTTCTTAAGTCTTGCATGTCTATTTTTAGAAATAGCCAAACTAGTGGAAACACATGAACTATGAACCAATAGCTGAGGAGCCCCCAACTGAATCAGGCCCTCTGGATAAGTGAGACAATTGAATAGCTTGAACTGTTTGGGAGGAACCCAGGCAGTGGGACCCGGACCTGTTCTTAGTGCATGAGCTGGCTGTTTGGAACCTGGGGCCTATGCAGGGACACTTGGCTCAGCCTGGGAGGAAGGGACTGGACCTGCCTGGACTGAATCTACCAAAATATGAATAATCACACTTTATTTGGCTAAGGAGAAAAATAACCAACACCACCTGACCTAGTTAATTTCAGGAATACAGAATTTCACTTACAAACCAATTCTTGTGTATTGTAGTTCTTACAACTTCCTTGGTTTCTGAACATGTTACAGGTTTGGGAGGCAACAGTCAGATGTCACATACCCCTTCTTTGTGCATATGGTTTGAGGTATTTTAAAAGAGAATGTCTTCCATAGGCTTAAGTATTTGAATACTTGGTCCCCAGTTGATAGCACTGTTTGAGGAAGTTTAGGAAGTATGGCCTTGCTGGAGGAAATATGTCACTAGAGATGAGCTTTGAGATTTCATAACCTCATCCCATTTCTAGTTGCCTTTCTCTGCTTCCTGATTGGATTTGAAGATGTGATACTTTAGCTTCATGCTCCTAATGCCATGCCTGTGTTTGTTGCATACTTCCTCATCATGAAAAACTCTTACCACTGGAACTATAAGCCCAAATAAACTCTTTCTTCTATAAGTTGCCTTGGTCATGGTGTTTTATCACAGCAAAGGAAAAGTAACTACTATGCCCCTTTTATACCATGCAGATCACTACTCCACAGTGTTTTACAAAATGGCCTTGTCCCTGGGAACTCTCTGAAGGCAAAGTCTGTATTTTGTTTAATGTTGTATTCCTATCAGGGAAGTGTTTCTAGTACATAATAGATATTGAATAGCATTTGTTGGATGAATAAATACATTGAATACTCTTTCACTGCTTAGAGATTACACAGGCACATTACTGTCATCCTCCATCATATAGAAAGTATAGACGGGTCATGGCATGCAGTGTCTCAAACTTTATAATAGAAGTTGATTTTGTGCTTGTGTTTTTTTTTTTTTTTTTTTTTTTTTTTTTTTT